TGTCGTATCAGAGACAAGTAGACAATTCCCAGAACTTGTTGCTAAATTCGGGGCTTTATTTGGTGCAGCTCTTGACTGGGCGCAGAATGAGCAAATGTGGTAAGTTTAACTAACACGAATATATTTTTTTGACGCCCCTGGCAAACATTTCATAGTATAATGGGTATTGAAAGCCAACCCAATTGCGACGCTATGTGTATGAATGAGTATGGTGTTACGCCATCTTCCCTTCTGAATACAACTCTCACCCACGTCGCCGTGCTGTGAGATGTTAAGCACGAAGAAAAAGCGCCAAACGATCAACCATTTCTATACTGATCTGCTCTCACTTTCCATTGTTACATTAACAAGCACGCAGCGCATTGCGTCCGTGTGTATTGTGTCTCTCACAGTAAGATCTGGAAGGCTTTGAGAACAAGCCCCAAAGGGGAGGGTTTGAACCTAATGACAAACCTATAATTACGCAGCAAAGAGCTTCATAATTCATATTGTCTTCCGAATATTATTTGGGCGAGCAACTCAAAGAGATTTAGAACAGTTCTGTCTTCCGCGATATAACGCCATGTAGTCTATTGAAAGTCAACCGACGTTTCGGAGGAATATGTTGGCTTCGTCTTCTCGGTGGAAGGATAAGCAAAGCAACAAATCAACATAAAGCATGTAGCAAGGGCCTCCGAAACATCTATTTAAATTCAACTTTCTGCATGACATTATATTCCAGAACATAGACTCTTCGTAATTTAATTAATTAAAAGAAATGAGGAACTAGATACTCTAATAAAAGGAAGGAACACAGTTAACTTCATCAAAGCCCAAAGAATAAGCTGGCTTGGACACATCTCAAAGATGGAGGTTGGACGAACAGTTAAAGGCAGCCACACGTCACAAGAAAGAGAGGCCGACCTAAGATTTGATGGAAAGATGACGTAAGGGAAGATCTAAAGGAGTTAGGAGCTTATAACTGGATAACTCATGCACAGGACAGAAGTAGCTGGAAGGAAAATGTTGAGCAGGCCGAAGCGTTCAAGAAACGGATCTGTCGAGCCTTATGAAGAAGAAGAAGAAGAAGACTCTTCATAACCACCGCTATGAGAACATTAAATCCTTCAGAGAACCTGAAATTTGCGGTAAATATATATAAATATATGTATATATCTAAGTAAGGTAAAGTTGTCCCTGTGCTTAACTAATTAAGCACTACGCCATGAAGACGTATGGGGGAGTGGATGTATAGATCCAAATTTTCTCAACATCGGCACTAGCTGGAGGGGAGTGGCCAGCATCATGCCCCAGCCGCTTTAACCCCGGGGAAAGAGCCCTCGGTACCCTTTGGATATTAGACAGATTCGCAAGATAAAAGTAAGTAAAAATCCAAGCGAATGCTAGAACGATGCCTTGAAATAGACCATGACCCCGTCCTGCTTTCTCATGGAATTTATCATTCATAATGATTTTCTTGTCACATTCCACGCTGTATGGTCTGTGTAGTCAAGTGAGGGGTGTCACCTGAGCTAAGATGCATTCAGTCAACAAGAAGGTTCTGTAGAAAAGTACTCCAAATGGAAACATTGATTTTGTGGCGATAAAAAAATTAGATTATGGTCTTCTGGGTGATAACATAGTATCGTAAGTGATTACTGATGTTTCGGAGGAACCTGCTGTCTCCATCTTCAAGATAGTTTAATAATTAATAAAACCGTAAATGAGGAACATGGATGTTGAATGCGATGTTCCCACAACAGCTAAGATCTTCTGGTTTGTAACGCCTTGTGGATCAGAAGAATTCCACGGAAGTTTTTAAGGAACGTTTCACCTCCATTACCTGCTTATTGCGATTTATTTGCCTCGCTCTTCACCCTGAAGATGGAGGCTACGTTCCTCCGAACTTCAGTTGACATCTGTCGAAATACACGGCATTAAAACCAGGAGATCCTGTTCTGTTGCGCCCATGTAATCTTGCGGATTCGTATCACTGACTCGTCAAGCTGTGGGATCAATTAATTCGGGACACATACAGCCTGATACATTTCGCAGCCCCGCACCTAAAAATACGCGTATATTGCTGAACTGTAATGCGCAACTTCTCAAGCATGAAAGCGATGGGCATACCACGCAGCAAGCAATGGGCTACACTCTAATACTTTTCATAGTTTCCCATGGTCTTTTAAGACTAATGTTTGGGATATATCTAGAAACAAATCAGTACTGAATTTATTGCAATTTTCTTTCATTTTCGCTCTTCATTGAAATTTTATTTGTCATTTATCATTTCAAATTTTTCTTTCTTAGTTTACTTCGTGCTGAATTCTCCTGTGCTTTATGACGTCGAAATGGAGGGAGTTCTTAATAATGAATTAGTAAGGATGTGGAAGGAAGCGATTTTATTATATATATTTTTATCTTCTAGGATATAATTCATCATTATCATCGCTGTGAAAACCAAAATCCCCACTATTTTGTTATGGTGTATGGAATTTTGCAAATAGTTTCCTCGAATCCACGTAAGATGTCCGTGTTTCCCTTCCGTTTACTTCCTTCTTAGACCTGCATGTACAATTTACGACTTTGCAAGTGACTCTCCTGCTCTCTGGTGCAAACTGTTCTTTGTTAACAGCTCATGTATATTAATATAAATATGTCAGTGTAATCTGCATTGTATTTGTGTGGGAGCCGGGATAACGTCGTCGGAGTTCGAGTCCCGGTAGTGTCAAGAATTTTCTCTGCTCCATGTCGTCCAGACCGGATCTGGGGTCCACCCAATCTCCTATCCAATGGGTACCGGGGGCTCTTTCCCCTTGGGTAAAACAGCAGGGACGTGTAGCTAGCCACTCACCTCCAACTAGTGCTGAGTTCAAGAAAACTTGGATCTGTACATCCACTCCCCCATACGTCTGTATGGCGTCCTGCTTAATTAGTTAAGAACAAGGAAAAGTTTATTTTTTTTTTTTACTTTTGTGGCTGTCTATATTTATCCAGAGGATCCGTCCAGGTCCGTGGCTTTGTGTGCATTTTCATAACAAGTTTATTTTTAGTATAATTAGAATGATCAAGTCAAGGAATGTAACACGAAAGGCAGAGAAGAGGAATGCATGTAGGATATTGGCGTGAAAGCCAGAAGGAAAGAGACCACTGGGAAAACCAAGGCGTAGGTGGGTGGACAATATTAAAATGGATTTTAGAGAGATAGGATGAGATGGTATGGATTGGATTGATATGGCTCAGGATAGGGACAAGTGGAGGGCTCTTGTGAACATAGTAATAAACCTTCTGGCTCCATAAAATGATGGAAAATTCTTGAGTAGCTGCAGATTTTGAGGCTCCCCAAGAAGGGCTCTGCTTCATCAGTAAGTAAGACTGTATGTGTTAGCTGTAGGAGTGCACACGAAGCACGTGAAGGTCTGCTGGCTACAGAACAGATGATGCTGTAGCGTCTTCAGACAAGTGAAAGTTGTTAAAGTATCGAAGAAGTTAAGTTCGTTAAGAAGGTTGACGAGACCAGATATTGCATCACAGCTGGCGCTGACGCATGCTCAGATCGGACAACGGTTTTTGTACAGATGCACAGTCTAAATCACAGACAGCTGCAGACTGTAAATTCGGTAGATGTACACGTCTTCCTTGCTCTTCTCCATGTTTAGTCAAGAATAAAAGAAACAAAGGAGTGCGGTGTTTGATACGGAGCTCCCGTTGCTTACATTTCAGATAGGTACTTATATGGAGTGTACTGTCTTCTGGGATGTGGCGCCGTGTAGTCCGGTAGAATTTCATTGATGTTTCGGAGGAACGGACATTTCTCCATTTCCACAGTCGAAGATATATTCAGTACGTTACAGACTGCCTGTCATCTTGTTTTTTGCTTGATTAACATATCTTCGGCTACGAAAATGGAGATAGTAGGTTCCGCCGAAACGTCTGTTAACTTCTAGAACTACACGCCTTCACATCTCAGAAGACAGTGCCCTTAGTTTTTGTAATTTATTATGCGTTTAATATTTAATTACAAATCGACACAGGATATGTATTAGTAACGAGTAATGTTGTTTTATACAAGTAACGACATGATTTTAATTATATATATATAATTGTTTATATTCTCTGCATTTCTTGATGCTTATATCCCTGTAACGACATCATTCCTTCGTTATTTTTAAATGCAGAAATCCTTTCATATCATCATACTCTCTGTTTTCCATTTTTAAATAATTTAAATGCAATTTGTATCTATAAAGCTCACGGGAATCAAAGAGAACTAAACATGAGATTCTGGTTCGATTTCCTTTAATATTCTCATACATTTCTTTTTGCAAAACGTAGAGAAAAATCATTTCCTTATTTCTGTAGAGTATATTCGCAAAAGAAAATAGTATTCATTTCTCATTTTTTTCTATAATAATAACATCTTGATGATATTTCCTTTCATGTTCTACTGTTCTACCCTAGTAATATACAAAAAAGCTTTCCCTTACGTATTCCGCCAGTAGCAATATAAGAACTTCGACTTACGAGTCTTTGTTCTGAGTTACTTAAAATATTGAATGTAAATAATACATGAAAGACCTTACTTACTTACTTACTTACTTACTCATGGAGTCGCAAATTCTGCAGCTACTCAAGAATTTCCCAGCATTTTACGGAATCCGAAGGTTCATTACCGTGTTCACAAGAGCCCTCCACTAGTCTACATACTGAACCAGATAAATCCAATCTATACCACCCCATCTCTAAGATCCATTTTAATATTGTCAACCCACCTACGTCTTGGTCTTCCCATTAGTCTCTTTCTTTCTGGCTTTCTCATTAATATCCTATATGCATTCTGCTCCCCCATTTGTGCTACATGCCCTGCCCACCTCATTCTCCTTGACTTGACCATACTTGGAGAAGAGTACAAGTTATGAAGCTTCTCATTGTGAAGACCTTACTGTGTAAATATTCAAAGGCTTTATGTAAATTTTATTCGTAAGTCCAGCCACCGGAACTAGAAAACACTGTGTACTTACGTAGCACAGAACCACGTGGGCCGCCGCTTTCATTACGTCGGTTCCCGTCTATCTCTCTCTTGACCGAACAATCAGCACAGTATTCTCCTCATGCTTCCCACACGGGGTGATGAACCTCTCTCTAGTCCTAGCAGCCGTTCTGAAGAAGGCAGAAGATGATGAGGACGGAGTTCGATCCTACAGAGAGTCTGTTGAATACTGAAACATCTTCAGTGTATCCCCCGACTTCTTATAAAAGGAGGCCGCGGGTCTGGATTGGCCGCCTCGGCCTCCTCGTGTTGTGTATCGACCTCTGATGGCTCTTCCTTCTCTTTCTTTTGGTATCTCTTTGGCTGCGTCTTCACTGTCAGTGCCAACTAACCCATGGTGGAGAAGGGGGGGGTCACAGAGGTTCTGCACCTATGAGGTTGGAGAGTCAAGTACAAGATTAAAAAGTTCAGTTGTCTTGTTTCCTCCCCTCAACCCCTACCACAATCTGAAGAGACAAATGGTATATTCTAGGGATAACCAATTTGAAGTCAGTAGTCAGATGTGGCCTCGTTATGTAGCATGTACCGAGACTCTATCGGGATAAAGGCGGCCAGGGTTACTTACAGAACAGGTCACTAAATGATTCGTTGTCAGTTTTATAATATACAGTAGGATAGGGTGACACAATGGGAGAAGAAGATTCTAGGAGAAATTTGGTGGGATATTGGTTGTATTGTTGCGTTATGTTCACTATGGCTTATGGTAAAATATAAGTTCATAGAATGGTTATTTTACTGAAGTTTAGTCTGGCATTCCTCAGTCCCTCCACTCAAAAATTTGAGATAAAATTTAGAACGAACTACGAATTTTTATCCCGCGTTCTTTCTGATTCTCCATTAATAATTAATAATCACTACTGTATTGTCTTCGCTCACTAGAACACTGGGATCGTGGGTTCGAATCCCACTCAAAGTATGGATAGCTGTCTGCGTTTATTTTGTTTGTGTTGTCTTGTGTACACACCGGTCTTGCATCGGGCTAATCCCCTTGCCAAGGGGTCGTACTGACTGTCTTAGAATTAAGAAACTGAAATAAAACAAAGTTTTCCACGGATCTCCTATGCTCCAAAGTGAGAGCAAGAAGAAAGAGAGAGAGAATCTTTATTGTTAATTATCAGATTCGTAATTAATTGATTCATAATAATCATACTATCAGTAGGCCTTTAAGTTATGCCGTGTATTTCAGAAATATTCGTGAAATAAATATGGCTGATATAGTATATGATTACGAAAAATTCCGTTACAGTGACCGTTTGAACCAAATGCATCTTGTTGTTGCGAAATAGGAATGACGTCCCATACACCATAACTACGTGGGGGGATAACTTTGCATAATATGGTCAGCATGTGGTTCACAAGGCCCACATTAATTTATCATGAGCTCAGTGACCCAGCAAACTGGTCGTTAATGGTCCTTATGGCATTATGTATGTAGTGTCCATAATGATATGGGCACCCCTGATTCAACGTGGTACATCACTCGTGTCAGTGACAGGTTGTCTGCTTGTAAGGGGTAGGTGGAGTCCACATGTGAAGCAGTGATTTCAATGCACGTATATTACTGTAACTTTTACGTAGGACAATAGTTCTCTTGTTCCGTTTCGTACAAGTGGTGGATATTTTGAACACGGGAAACCCTCCTCATTCGCAAGTGGATGCGGTACTCGAAATTGCGCGTACAAAGAATCAGTGTTAAACGAACTTAATAATATATGGGATAAATGGGGATACGGAAACACGGCGGATGGAAGGAGAAAAGAGTTCTGGAGGCTCTCAGAGCTGTCAGGTCGTGAGTTCCGTGGAACTCGAAACCAAGAATAACTATGCTGTCGAGGGTCAGCAACAATTGACTGGACGGAATGGACGGTAAAATTCAGCACAACTAAATAATAGTAACAAATATACTGCAATAATAACAGGCCGTGGAGGCCAATAGGTTTGTGAAATGTTGAGGTTCCCACATTTTCTAGACAATCGGCGAATAGATGGCGGTAAGACTGTCAGATTTACGCGCCGGCTGCCCTTGCCCCCCCCCCGGAAAATTCCTGGTACTCATTTTTCTTAGAGACTGAGTCCATCCCAGAACCGTAGAGCGGCTGGAAGGATTAGGTTAATTGAAAAAATCCACCTCATCGGGATTCGATCCCGCGACCTTCCGGCTTGTAGAATAGTCCCTCAACCAACTACGCTACCGCGTGCCGAGTACTATAATAAAATTTGATCGGAAATTTTAACATTGAACTAGAATAGCAACAGAATATTATTCTTTAAAATAAGATGTCAAAATATTTGGTATTAAATAAAATATTAACACTGAGTTAGACATCGAAAAAATTTCATATATTATTTCGTGTGTTTCGCTTACTGCGCATAATCGAATTATCCTCTTTAAGCAAATAGGCGTTAGCCCTTACTTTCATACGTATACTCGATTTCTATCTCTGATCACGCACCCTGAGTCATCGAGTTAGAGGCTTTATACCTGGTCAAGAATTCGACTGAATATAGACTAAGAGCATTAAACAAATGTCACTGTCAGTTTTTCCAAGCCAAGAATATGATTTGCCACTGAATCGTATGTTTCGATGTAATTTGCTCTAGAATCTGGCTCTTTGGTGAGAAGCTGCTAGTCGTTCAGCTTCTCAAGAATTTCCCTATAGTTTATGGAACCCGAAAGTTCATTACACTGTTCACAAGTGCTCTCCATTGGTCCCTATCCTAAGTCAGATCACCACATCCTATTTCTCTAAGATCATCAGCAGTAGCAGGAGCAAGATTTGGGCTCGTTTGCCCGTTCAATCTTGAAACATGAAGCATCCTTGAGGAGTAGGGCTAACTCTTCGCTATATTTAAGCAGGTTACCACTCTGTGGCCAACCACCCTATCTTGGAACACCAGGGTTTTTATCCAGGGTTACCTTCCCCTAGTTTGCCTACCTTGGCTTAGAGGTCCTGTCTACCCGCCACGTAACCGGGAAGAGGGGTCCTTACAGGGCGCTACCCACCGGCTAATGGGACCTGGGACTCGCATGAAGCACGGTCGGTACGCCCTAGAATTTGACAGTTTCCTCCAAGAGCCATCATAATATTATTTTCCCGTCTACCTGTAAGTTTTCCTAGTGATCTCTTTCCTTCTGGCTTTCCCACAGAAACCCTATAAGCATACGTATTAATAGGCTTTCAAGTCAGTTTACTGCAAAGTGCGCCAGATGCGTATATTTGAAAATAAAAGAAAATATATTTTGTTCTGAGAATTATTCATGTTGCTTTTCCAATATTAAAATGGGCCGTGCTGAACACGTATGCGACATGTTGATCATCAATACTTTAGGCCATTCGGCTTGGAGCACCTCATAACGGTGTTTTCTGTGGGTCCGCCTCAGACAATATAATGAGAAGAATTTGGGGAGTCTCTGGAGTCAACATTCGAAGACGATTGAGAAGAGACGGCAAGAAATGAATTAGGCTGTGAAAATAAGACTTCATATCTGCTGCAGTGACAGTGAGACTGTTCCAAATCCGTTGCCAGGATACGACTACTGAAGACTGAGGATACTAGTGTGTGTGTAGAATTGTGAACTGTAAAGTACATAGATCAGCAATAGCGCTGTATTACTTTGTAATTACGAGTTGATTGTACAAGTGGTCAATAAATCTGTTCATTAATCCAAAACCTCGTGTAATTGTCACACCCCTAGATACGTGGCAGTGTTGTTAGCTAACACATTCCCACTAGAAGTGCGTATGTTTATTTGGAAAGCTCAAAACTGACGACTGCCTTTGTTTTTATCTTTTGATGCGAATTGAAAACAGTACCACATTCTTCTGCTAGAGCTTGCTGCTTCATACTGGGGCGGGTCCACATGTAATTAAATTACCTCTGGGCTGAAATATGCAGATGAGTTTCCTCAATGCTCATTGAAGGGATAAGTTTAGGATATTCCTTCAAGCTTTTCTCGTGCTTTTGAAGATCCACATTCCCAGGAGCCAACGGCGAACTGAAGGCCGAGGGGAACTGTGTGGGTAGAAGAAGAATGACCAGTTGTTACTATGAAGTGCTCTACGGACGTTATGAAAAAACGAAGAACAAATTAGCTTAGCCTCCAATTAAATGAACAACCCGAGTTCCATTTCGTGAGCAGGTAGAAGGGGATCCGTGATGTGGCTTGAATCACCGGTCGTTACATCGAGCAAAATAAATTTGACACGTTGTTATGCTTTTAAGATAATGCAGCTAAGCCACAGCAGGACAGTGAAGTGCTTTTACGTAATAAAGTTTAGGAGGTGTATTCATTTAAGTTGCAACACAGATTAGCTGGTATCTGTTATCTCGACATTCGTTCAGATCAGGTTTCACTCTTATCGACTTAGCGTATTTCAGCACTCGGCCCCTTGTATATGGGGATTTTCCTGCTCCCCGTTCTTCAGTTTGGTTTCGGAAGTGGGATATCTCACTCCCCTCCCAACATGGAAAACTCTGTGGCGGGAATCATTGGCGTAGCCAATTTTATTATAGTAAAAGCTAAAGTTATCCTTGTGCTCAACTATTTAAACACTACACCATGAAGACGTATGGGGGAGTGGATGTATAAACCCAAGTTTTCTAGACCTTGGTACTAGTTGGAGGCGAGTGGTCAGCTTCACGCCCCAGCCGCTTTACCCCTGGGAAAGAGCCCCCATACCAATTGTATAGAAGGCTGGTTGAACCCCAGAGCCGTTGTGGACGACGTGGAAAAATGAAAATTCTTGCCCCCACCTGGACTCGAACTCCAACCCCTCGGCCGTACAGTCCGCAGCCAGTCGATATACCGACTGAGCTATCCTAGGTCTGTATTCTATTACAGTAAATAAGTGTCTTTTAGATATTAATTCGTAATTTCTTGCCATGGTTAAGTATTTAAACAAATGTATTCTCCTATCCATGCCTTCTATATCCCCTGTCCATTTCAGCAGCTAAATGAATTACAGTTTGGTCAGTATAGGGGCACCGGGATAGCTCAGTCGGCATAACGACTTGCTGCGAGGTCGGAGTTCCAGTCCCTATTAAGGACAATTTTTTTTTCACAAAGTTAATAAAAAGTCCGTCGAGTGTAACAATTTGTAGGTCACTTCTTTATCACTTCTGCCTTACATGTTTCGGTTTGACACAACCATCATCAGAGGCACTTACTACAATTATGAAAACACTGTCGTTGTTTATGATGTTCAC